GGAGCCGCGCGAACCCTGGGGCGCCCAGGTGGACGGGTGGGGCGCAAGTCACCGGGCGGGATGGCGGCGGGAACCTAGGGGAGGGCGGGCGCTGCCGAGGGGAGGTGAGGGAAGGTCTCACACTCGGTTCTTGCACTCAGTGTGTATTCGGTGCCTTCACTCTGCTAGGATTGAGAATGCAGCAGTGAACAAAAAGAACGCTTTCCGGAAGCCGGCGTTCTGGAGGGGAGACAAAACAAACGAGCAGACAATACTGATGAGTATCGTGAAGTAAAATAAAGCAGCGTAAGAAAATAGAAACGGGGTTACTGTTTTAACCGGGGTGATGGGGAGGAAGGCTGGGCGGCGAAGAGAGGGAGCAAGCCCCGACGTCTGAGGAAGCGCTTCCCTGGCAGAAAGGACGACAAATTGCAAAGGCCCTGAGACAGTCCTTTCAGGAAAGCTCAAAATGACCGTTGGAGGATATGCGCGTTAGTTTTTATTCCAAGAGAAATGGGAAGAGTTTGAAAGATCAGAGGGGTGATGAGATGTCTTAAGTTTTAAAAGCTCTGTGGCAGCTGATTGTGACTAGATTGGGTGGTGGGAGAAGAGGTGGTAAGAGTAGAGAGGTCTACAGGTGGAAGCAAAGAGACCAGGTGGGTGATGGTAAGTGGGATGCTACTGTGACTAAAGTTAAATGAGCTAGGAAAAAAAAATGGTAGGAAGTAGTGGGGGGCCAGGCCAGATGGGGCCTTGCGCACTGTGGAATTCTTTCTGAATGAATCAAGGGGCCCTAAGAGGAGTAAGTGTGACCTACTCAAGTTGCCGTGTGTGAGTAGACAGAGGGCAAGAATGCAAGCAGGCGGATGCCTCGGGAGGCTGTTCCTGGGGCTGAGAGATGGTGGCCGGCTAGAGGAGTGGAGGTGGTGGAAGGTGGTAGGACTTGGATGTCATGTGAAGGCAGCCAGCAGGACTTGCTAATGTGAAGTATTAGTGAGCGAATGGTGGCGCCATCCACTGAGATAGGGACCGCTGCTGGAGGAGCAAACCAGGCAGGGTTTGGTTTGGAGCAAGTTAAATTTCAGTTGCATATCAAACACTAGTGGCAGGTTGAGTGAACAAGTGGATAGTCCATCCTGGAGCAGTGAATTTAGAAGCTGCCATTGTCTAGACGCTAGTTAAAAACCATGGGCCTGGGTGAATGCATCTAGAAGGAGAAGGTAGGTAGAGTAAAAAGATCTAAGGACCACGTCCTGGGGTACTGCAATATTTCCAGCAAAGGAGACTGGGAAGAAGTGGCCATTGAGTAAGAGGAGATTGGGTATCCATAAAGGCAATTGAAGAAAGCTTTTCTGGAAGGAGAAACTGACCAACTGGATTGCATACTGTCAAGAGATCAAATATGAGGACTCTCCTACTATTAGCTGTGTGACCCCAGGCAAAGCAAGTGTTCTCTCTGAACCACTGTTTCCTCATTTGCAAAGATGGGGCCAGTCATGCCTGTCTTAGGTTGTTGCGAGGTATGAAAGTGGCTGGCATCTGAAGATCAAAGTTCCCTGTCCTGTCAATGATATTCCATCCAGCACTGCGTCCCTCAGGTCAGTAAGCTGTAAAGCACTCTGCAGAAGCCTAAATTAGTGCATGAAGTCTCAGTGTGCCTGCTGCCAGGACTTGTCACCCCAAATCAAGTGATTAAAAGTCCATGTGAGAAGAGTTTGGAAAATTCAAAGTATATCTTTGAATAACCTCTCAAATGTCAATTCTGTTCATCGCTTAGGTAATTTAGCAGGTTCTGAAAATGACTGCCCTTCGGTCTCCCGGAGGGGGGACCTAAGGCCAGATATGGCGGATGCTATGGTTACTGGTGTTTGTGGTACTAGAAATGTCTTTTCACATCTACCTTCCGTCATAAGGACTTAGGAATCAGCACCTGCTGTGTGCTTCGTCACTAGAAAGCGAAGGCCCAGAATGCAAGGATGGTGCCATTTTCACCATCGTGACCTCAGGCCTTGGCCCAAATGATAGCACGAAGTAGTGTCAGGCCCTGCTTGGGACAAAGGTACAGTCAAGTAAGCAAGACAGCTAAAGCTCTTGTAGAGCTTGCTTTCAAGTACAAGGGTGACATAAATGAGGAGGTCTATTGTGAGTGCTATGAAGAAACCGACAAGAATGGTAGTGTAACCTCTGGGAAGTGACAATCCCATGAGGCCATAACTGTAGGGAGCTGGCAAGTGATATTTAAGCTCCGATCTGAAGAAAGGAGCCAGCCACTCAGGCTGGGCAAGGGGAGAATTCTGAGCGGGACAGTCTAGGGGGGAAGATGCAGGTTGGAGGAACCAAAAGGCCAATGTGGCTGGAGCTTAATGAGGCAGAGGGTGCAGGAGATGTGGTTAGCAAGGTAGGTGAGACCCACTCGGGCACACAGCTAAGAAGTTTGGCGCTCGTTCTGAGAACAGCGGAGAGCCAAAAGGGAGTGGATCCAACTTAAAAGCTCACCTGCTGCGAAGTGGGGACGGACTAAGTGGTGCCATGGCCTGTGCAGAGTGGAGGCAGAAGGTGCTGCTTCAGCCTCAGGATTCCTCCATAATTGAGAAAGCCCTCGATATTTACAAGAGCAAGAAACTTCAGTGAACGCCAGCTGCACAGCCGCCTTTGTTGGTCCACACAAGAAGCAAGCTTGCTGTGTCGTTGACATGTTTTAAAGTTTTTAGATGTTTGCTTCTTTAGCTGATTATTGATTTTTGTAAGGTTTGTCTTTCTTTCTTAGCATGTTTGGGAGCCGGGTGGGTTAAGATTAGGAAAGAACAGAGGAGAAAGGCATCTGTGCAGGCCCTAAATGATTCCTTACTATTGGTAACCTTGGGGCAGATAGGGCTAAAGGTCAGACCTACCTGTGATCCTACTGGATACCTGATTACAAGGTAAGTTGAAGTCAGCTTCACTAGGTCTTTTCTGTGAAGTTAGGCTATTGATTATGAAGAGTGGGGTCCTGAGAATTGGGGTGATCGGGAGGATACAGGCAAATCGAGAACTTTACCCCCCGCCCCATCCATCTGATCCTCTGTCAGTGGAAATGGCTCCCTGCCTTTCTGACATTAGTCTTTGCCTGCTTGAAGTCCTTTAATGAGCTCACTTGGGTGCTTACCTGGCAAGAAGATGTTGAGTCTTCTAAGACTCGCTCCGCATTAGCTCCAGCCCATAATCAGAGTCAGATCCCAGCATGTCTTGGGGAAACAACTGCAAAGCTCAATTTAGGAGACGTTTAAACACTGAGAACTGGGATGGATATTCATGCACTTGTATCATTAGAACTTGGGGAGTGGATTCTAATGTCAGCATACCATTGGATTGGGCTCAATTGATAAACATAGCTGACTTATCACAGATTCTGGGTTCCATGTGTGGCTCCAGCAACTGGGTGTGGCATGCTGAGCTAAGCTGGTGGAGAGAGATTTGGAGGGTCGCACACTGGTGGCCCCCTTTGGCTTTTAGAGACTACATGAACTGCACCTGAGTGTGCTGCTCTGACCCATTCACCCAGTAAGCCCGCAGAACCAGGGCGAGGTGTCTAGGGTAGATAGCACTGTAGAAAGAAGTCCTGGCAAATCCCCACAGTGGAGTCATGGGCTGAAGGTGTATCTTCTGCAAGTAACAATTGTCCATTTGAACAGCAGCTTCAGATTTTCCACTGGACATTGGTAGAAACCAAATGCCAGACCCTGAGACCCCAGATGAGTGTGTGACCTTGGTTGGGTGTGACACTATCAAGAGGAAGTTGAATACAATGATAGCCTTGCGCAGGAGCACAAGTAAGTAACATGAGCGGGTGGCTCAGACGCCCATGGCACCTTTGCCCACTTCCTCCCTTCCTTGCCAGCTCCCTACAGTTATGGCCTCATGGGATTCTCTGGGCAGAAGAGCGAAGAAGAAAAAGGCAGACCCAGTTAATAGATGGCCGTGCTGATGTGCTGACGCCAGGCAGAAGGCATCGAGCTTCAGTCAGTGTGCCCGAGAGAGAGAGGTAGAGGAGAGAAGCTGGAGGCGCGGGATCTGCCCCAGGTCAGTGGCGGTAGCGTAACAGGATGGCTGATGGCCCGCGGACTTGGAAAGAACAAGATTGGAGACTTAAAGACCAAAAGGGAAGGGGTTTGTGGGTGAACTTTCCAGATTGGGAGAGATGTAAGGGCATGTGAGTGTGAATGCTCACTAAAGGGCACCACCTGCACAGGAGGCCTTTAATCAGCAAGTGGGAGGACCCCCTATCTGCGGAGCCAGTTGGTCTCTTTGCAGCTCCCCTCTGGTGCCACCCAGTGCTTGCTTGATCGGCTTTTGTACCAAGTAGCCATGACCACATCTGAAGCTCATGAAGCAAGGATGTCAAGGACCCTGGCTCTTTTCTTTCTGCTCTGTCATTCTTGACATGTTGGATTTTGGTTCTTCCATCATACTTGTTGCCTCATGGTTCCAGAAAGGCTGCTTCGGTCCTGGGCTTGCTGACTGTGTTAGACAGGAAGCACGGGAAGGGCGGGAGGCAAAGGCTCTTTCCTCTTCAGACCTCAAGGTCTCCTCACTGAGAAGAGGCGATCCCCTTGGCAGTCTTCCGTTTACTCTCGCTCGTCGGAATTGGGTCACTCGCCAGCTTGGCCTGAGACCAGTCACTGGCCAGAGGGAATGAGACTACTGGGGCTGCTTCATACCAGTTGAGGTTTATTCCCTGGGGCTGTCTTCCTGAGATCAAAGGGTGTCATCCCTACTGACAGAAATTGATTTGGGGTGGGAGTTGAGGTTTAAGGCAGGGAATGGTTGAAGGTTAGATAACCAGTATCTGCCAGGGTTGCCAACATTTAAATTTTTGGAGCTATCACATATAAATCTAACTTGAGTGGAACAGTGAGGCGTCGCTGATCCCACGTTGCCTCCTGGCAGAACTGGGTCTCTAGACGTCATGTGCTCTCAGGTTTGCCACAGGCCCCAACACTATCACTCACCTGTCTGCTTTACCCATTTCCCCTACCCACATGGCTCCTGTGAACATTTGAGTTTATGGCCCCTGACTTAGGACATTATTTTAGGGTGATCTGTTTACTGATGAGTTTCTCCCACCGGGCTAGCACAGTGTAGCATGTAAAGTGTAAATTAAACATGCACACACAGGTAGCCTGTCACAGTGAGCAGGCCATCACACACACAGGTGGCCCATGGCAGTGAGCCAGGCCATCACATCGCGTGAGAGGGGTGGTCAAGGACCTAAGTTTGAACCTGACCTGGCTACATGCCCGGTTCCCCAGTCCGAGTCTCAGTCTCTACATGTGTAAAAGCAGGGAGTAGCATCTGCGTCCCGGCAACACTGAGAAGCTTAGGTGAGCTCATGCACATGAAGTGCCCTGTTTCTTCCCCAAGGAGGAATACCCTAACTTGAGATGAATTTGGAGTGGAATTAGGAAGATTTTTAAAAGCCGAGGCTACATCTTATTAGCTTTGCATTGCTAGAAGTGCTTAATAAATATTTAATAATGATAATAATGATGATTTAGCTTGGTAGAGTGTAATTATACAAATTGTTAAATGCAATTCTGCCAGGCTGTCATTACAGATAATAGCCTGAATGCAGGATAATGAGGGAGAAACCAGAGCCCACCATTGTGATGGCTGTCAATAGGTAGGTGGCTTGCAGTGCTACTGTAGACATTCGTGTGGGGGCGTGCGGGACTGTCGTGTGAGGGAATGGGGGTGGAACCATCTAGGCCAAGGGGAGAAGTTGGCAGGAGCCAGACACTACAGAGCCTTGTGGTCCAGGATGGGATAGTGAGAAGTCACTGGAGAGATTTCAATAGGAAAATGACAAGAGCTGATAATATGATTTTAAAAAGGTTTTTTCATCATTGCAACATGAAATTTACTTTTTAAACCGTTTTTAACTATATGGTTCAGTGGCATTAAGTACATTCACATCATTGCGCAACCATCACCACCACCCATCTCCAGAGCGTTTTTCTGTTCCCAAACTGAAACGGTGCACACTAAACACTAACTCCTCTCTGCCCCGCTCCAGCTCTCAGCAGCCTTTCTACTTTTGTCCCTATGAACTTGACTAGGTACCTCACATGGGTGGAATCATACATTATTTGTCCTTTTGTGACTGGTTTATTTCACTTAACATAATGTTCTCAAGGCTCATCCATGTTATAGCATCTGTCATAATTTCCTTTTTATGGCTGAATAATATTCCATTGTATGGCTGGACCTCATTTTGTCCGTCCGTCCATCTATCCATCCATCCATCCATCCATCCATCCATCCATCCAACTAACTTGGGTTGCTTCCACCTTTTGACTGTTGTGACTAACACTAGTATGAACATGGGTGTGCAAATATCCAAGTCCCTGTTTTCCGGTCTTTTGGGCAGAGACCCGGAAGTGAACTGGTTTCATCATATGGTAATTCTGTGTTTAATTTTTTAAGGAAGTTTTTCTACAGTGGCTGCGCCATTTTAACATTCCAGCCAGCAGTATGAGGGTTCCAGTTTCTTCATATCCTTGGCAACACTTATGTTCTATTTTTTGATAATGTCCGTTCTAATGGGTATGAAGTGGTATCTCATTGTGTTTGGGTTTGCATTTCTGTGATGATTAGTGAGGTTGAACATAGTTTCACAGGCTGATTGGCCATTTGTTTATCTTTTTTAGAGAAATGCTATTTAAGTCCTTTGCTCATTTTTTAATCATTTGTTTGGGGTTTTTCTTTGTAGTTAACTTGTAGAAGTTCTTTATTCTAGATATCAACTTCTCAGATCCATGATTTGCATAAATTTTCTCCTGTTCCATGCTTTGCCTTTCACTCTGTTGATAGTGTCCTTTGATGCACACACGTTTTTAAGTTTAGCGTAGTCTGACGTGTCTATGGTTTTCTCTTGTCGCCTCTGCTTTTGGTGTTATGTCCAAGAAATCATTGCCAAATACAATGCCATGAAGCTTTTCATGTGTTTTTTTCTAAAGAGTTTTATAGTTTTAGTTCTTATTTTAGGTCTTAGATCCATTCTGAGTTAATTTTTGTGTATAGTATGAGGCCAGCTTCATTCTTTTGCAGGTGGATATTCAGTTTTCCCAACTCCCATTTGTTGAAGAGAATGTCCTTTTGCCACTGAGGGGTCTTGGCACCGTTGTCAAGAGTGTATTTCTGGGCCTCGTATTCTAGTCCATTGGTCTGTACATCTGTCTTTATGCCAGTACCACTCTGTTGTGACTCTTGCAGCTTTGTGGTAAGTTTATAAGTGAGGAAGTACGAGATCTCCAGCTTTACTCTTCTTTTTTAAGATTGTTTTGGTTATTCAGGGTCCCTTGAGATTCCATATGAATTTCAGGATGAATTTTCCTATTTCCCCAAAAATGTCACTGCCGATATGTGGTTCTAAATTGGGGGTGTGGTAAGCATGGAAGCAGGACAACAGTTAGGTGGCAGGTCAGGCAAGAATTGATGGTGCTTCTGAATGGCGACGTAGCATCAGATGTAGAGAAACCTCGGAAGGGTTTGGAAAGCATTTGGATGGTGAAATCAGAATTTAGTGAAGGATTCGAAGTGAGTGAGGAGGGAAAAAGGAATCAAGAATGGCTCCTTGGTTGTGAGTTGGAGCAGATGTACCCATTTCTGGATGGGGAGAATGGAAAAGGAACAGGTTAGAAAGTCAGGGGTGTCAAGCGTTCCTTTGGAAAAGAAAGAGTTCCCTTTGGGGCACAGGAAGTCCGAGGTAGCTGGGAGACAGGCAGGTGGAAAGGAAGGGAAGCTATGCTGGGGACACCGAGCTTGGCGCGAGGGGAGACTGCAGGGCTGGGGAGAGAAACGTGCGTCAGCCCCGGATGGAGGCACGTGGGGGCCCGAGACAGGGAGGGCAGGGAGTGAGGAAGGACAGTAACTGCAGAGGGGTGGTCTGAGGAGTTAGCCTGCCAGGTTATTCCACACCTGGGGACAGGAGGAGGAGGAGTCAGCAAAGGTGGCTTTAAGTTTCTGAGGAGATTGTCCCCAGCATGAAAACCCAAGGAAAATGACAGCAAATCCACAGCCTCCATTCTGGGCTGCTGCTCCACCGTTGTGGTGAGGCCCCTGGCGTTTGAGTAGCGGTGGAACCAGCTGGGTCCCGTGTCCTTTTCGTTGACCTTGGTGGTTGGGAACTCCCAGTGCCCCGTGCGGCCCACTTCTGGCCTGGCACCCCATGTGTCCCTTCATGCCTTCGCTCCTCCCTGAAGGCTTGCCTCACCGTTTCCCCTGCATCGCTCTGCTCCGCCAGCCCACCCCGGGCCTGCCTGCAGCGTGGGCCTCGTCTGCGCAGCTGGAGCCCCTGTGGCCTGCAGAGCCTGTGAAGACAGGGAGCGTCTTTCATTCATCTTCATTTTCCCAGCGCCGAGGCCGGGACATGGATCTCTGGGTGGAGAGATTAAAGGGTCATTTTAAAATGACTTTTCATTCATTTCTTTGCCCTGACCACGTGTGATTTATATAATTATTTAAAATAACAAAAGATTTTAAAAACCATCCAGAGAAATGAAAGTGGGATGAACATTGATTTGGAAACGAGAACAAGGTAACCGAAGCTGAGAGTACTCGCCCCGCGTTCCGCAGTCATGCATTGGGCCCCAGCTGGGCGTCACTGGGTTGGTAGCTGGGGATGTGCCCTTGGCCAGAGGGAGGGTCGAGTGGGACCCGCCTTAGGTGTTTGTGCAGCCTCTGCAGCTCTCACGCTGCTGCTGGCGACGTTGCATGGTGCAGGCAACTTCAGAGAACAGGTTGGCGGTTGTTAAAAGTTCAGTATGTGTTTACGTGTGGCCTGGCAGTTTCACTCCTGATGTTTACTCACCGAAACAAATGCTTGTGGCACAGAAGATTGTCCCCAGATGTTTGTGTCAGCTTTATTCACAATGACTAAAATGGAAACAGCCCGAATGCCCACGAACCGGCGGGCTGTGTAACACACCGGCCCGTCCCTGCAGTGGGCCTGGCAGTGAAGAAGGAGCTGCTAATGTATGCAGCGACGTGGCCGGAATCAAGCGTCCTGCCAAGTTAGAGAAGCCAGACCCGAGAGCGCGTCCTGCCTGACTCCGCTTATGTGAAATCCTGCATCAGACAGAGCTCATCCGAGGTGACGGAAGGCAGATCCTTGGGGGTGCCTTCCTGGGGGACGGGGCTGCGCCAGGGGCCTGGTGGAAACGCTCTCTATCTTGATTGCGACAGTTACAAGGGTGAAGATGTTTGTCGAAACTCATGACCTACACTTAAAAGAGTGCCTTTTATTGCATGAAATCATATTACAGTGAAGCTGGTTTAAAACAGAGAAGGCGCTGTGTCTCCTCTCACAGAGCCAGTCGGGGTGAGAGACGCAGTCCAAGTACTGACAAATGTGTGCAGGGTCACCAACTGGTCAGTGTCCTGAAGAAAGCGTTCAGGCCCTGGCAGAGGAAGAGACCAAGACAGCTTAGAGGAGTGGAGGGAGTTTCACCGACGAGATGGATGCTAAGCTGGCACGCGTCCTCCTCCTCGTCGCAAATGTGTATGTTTGTTACCAAAGCAACAGGTTTTGAGTATAGGAAAAAAATGAGAAAAAGCAGATGTGTAAAAGGAAGAGGAAAGGCCTGGTGCGCACACCCACAGTCCTGCTCACATGGGGGTGCTAGCGCCTCCTCCCGGCGTGGACCCCTGTGGACCCTTCTGACCTGCTGAGCAGTTCACGGAGGTGGGGTGTGAAGTGAACCCAGGCAGGCCATCAAACCAGAGATCACGCTGCTCAGCGCCATCTGGGTTAGTGACAAAGATATTGGAGAGAGAAGGGCAAAGAGGAAGTGGCCAGGGCCCAAATTCCTGGTGTGGGAGGGTGGGGAGGAGATGGGGAGGGGTTCGAGATCTGGCTTTGATGTAGGGGTTGTACCATTATCCCCATGAATCCACGCCCTGGGGCTAACAGAATTTAGCTTTTGATTCACAAACCAATTCTGCTCATCAGTGATTAGGCTCAGAGATAATTGGGGAGCTTAGGTCCCCAGGCACTCATGTGTTGCCCACATGGCCAGACGCCTCTCTGGGCAGTGCCTGCTAAAAGTCTCCTCTGTCACTCACAGCCCTATTGTGTTTCTCCGCAACTGAGGCTGTTACAGTGAAAACCTTGCTGTGTTCCTAATCAGAACCCGGCACTTTTCTGGGTCTGGGTCAGTAATGGCAGGCTGGGAACCCAGAGCCAGCACAGTGGGTGGGTGGCAGCGGGGTGGTGGGCGCGGGGCCCGGCCCGGGGTCTGTCTGGCTCAGAGCCCTGAGGGTTGCTGCGCCTCTGCGCCCAGGTTCTGCAGCGAAGATCATGTGGTGCTTTCTCTTCACCGATCAGCCGCCCAGCTTGGGAATTGACCTCTGCCCAGGTGGAAGGCATTTGCAGAGAGCTCACCCTCAGACTCTGGGACCTGCTTCCTGTCTGATGCCTCAAGGACCCAATCTCCTCCGAACCCTTGTCCAGCCCTGCTCTCTCTGACTCTGCCAGTGACCTCCTGGAGCACTTGTTGCTATTGCTCATTCGGGAGAGTGCTGGTCTGTGTGGCATCAGGCAAGGTGCTTTGGCCCCCCGGGCCCCCCAAACCCTGGCCATAAAGGAAAAACACTTAACAGCCAGTGTGAGAGCACAAAGCACACAGTAAGTGTCCATCCAAACACTCAGGAATTTTGCCATGATGAGGCAGCTGAGTGCACATCGGTCTGGTTTGCACAGAAGGTCCTGGTGACCCAGCGTAACTATCAACAAATTCCCCTTTTGCTTTCAGAAGTGTCCTGGCTTGGGTGACAAATGATATTGTTACCCAATTAGGAACCAACCACGTCGATCAGATCCTTTCTCATCTAGGAAGGAAAAAGGGACCATCTGAGGGCCTACCTGTGTCTTTTTACAGGCTAGGAACCTACAGCCTGGAGTGAGGCCGCATCCCACAGGAATTGCTGAGCGAGATCCAGCGGGGCCCACAAAGATGTCGGGTGCGTTTCAGGTTAGAGCGGTTTGTGTAGAATGTGCTAGGACGCACACCAGTCAAGTTTACATTTCTTACATGACAAGATGTTTAGCCCTTAGGGGAATCCTTGCTTTGTATTTTTTTAGAGAACTTTTGAGCAAAATAATTATTATTATTATATTACTATTATTATTTTGAGAGAAGTCTCTTGGGACTCCTTTGCCTTAATTTCAAGCAACAAGCAAATGTTCACATAACTACAGCCGACAAAGTGAGCTCATTGGGGAAAAACCAATCAGAAGCAGAGAAGGCATCGTCGCCCCCTTAGAATGAGAGAAGGGCCATCTCAGCACCTGTGGCCACAGGTTTCTCTGTCTTCTCGTGTGGTGGCCTGAAAGAAACTTAGAACGCTGTGGGAATGCCGCGGGCGGGCCTCCACCTCGGCCTGGAATCTCGTGGGCATGCTGGCCGGAGCTGCTGGCCAGGTCCTGTGGCAGTTTTCAGTGAGTCTGAGTAATAAGGGGCGCGGAGACAAAGCTGTGGTTTCTTAGCAAAGGTGGCTTGTGCAGAGGGCGCTCGTTCACCCCCGGTGGGGGCTGTGCCGAGGCCACTGACACATTGGAAAGCTGGCTGGCAGCATGTAGCTCAGGCCTTGAAAGGCCTTTGCCTTTGATCCGGGAACTCCGCCTATGGGAATGTCTCTAAGGAAATCACCCGAAATTTGGAAAAAGCATATGCACTAAGATGTTCATAATTGTTTATGACAGTAAAAGTGAGGACAATTGGCCTATGCAATGATAGGCATTTGGTTAAGTGCACACAGCCCTGATGGAATATTGCATAGTCATTAAGAGCGAGATGCGCACACTTGTCCCAAATCTGCTGTCCGCTCTCCACTACCTGTCATTGGTCTGGTTGGATTTCTTTTTTCTTTCTTTACTTTTTTCTTTTCTTTCTTTTTTTTGATAAGAGGAGAGAGTGGGCTATTAATGTCAGAAATAGAAATTTTACATAACGGTTTTGAAAATGACATTTGTACATAACTCGCAACATCACGGGAAGTGGTTTGTTAGATGGAAAGTAGACTACGAAGTTGCATTGTAACCATGTTAGCTGGAAATTTGGGTTAGAAAAAGTCTGAAAAAGCTTTGGGAAAATAGTTTTCCATGGATATCTCGAGTTTCTGCATGAATTCAATATTAGGAATATTAAGGAAGCAACAATATATATTAAAGTGTCTTTAAACAGAGATACACATGAAACAAAGTTACTTATTGTCCAGTTGCTACAAATGTAGTGACCAGGGTCTCATAGGAACCTAATGCTGTGCAGGGTGTTACTGGGGCTTTAATAACTACCACAAAAACGAGGTATCGGCTGTTTTATAAAGCAAAAGGAGGCGAACATGTCTCGTGGCGAGAAGGTCGCCCTCACTTCCGCCCGCGCTCACGCCCTTTCATGCAGTCGTGCCGTCTGGGTCCTGACCTCCTGTCAGAACCACTCACCTCTGCTGCCCTTCGTTCATGCTCCGCCGTTCCCTGGGGAACACTCCTTCGCTGGGTGGGATGTCACTTGCCTCACCTGAGAAGGGACAGTACCGCGTACTGGGTGAGGAGACCGTCGTGGAGAGCCCCTGGCCGGGCGCCGGGCCGGTCCGTGCTCAGCCGCGCTCCCCCTCCCGCCGTGTGGCCTGCAAAGCCGCGGCCGTCCTCCCGCCAGCGCTTTTGCCCTGTGCTGTGGGCGGGGAGGCTGAGGCTCTGACACGTCGCGGCCTGCGCAGCGACATGTGCCAGCGAAGAGGCAGAAGATTCAGATCCAGGGCTCACGCCCCCTGGGACTGGGTTCTTCCACGATTCCTCCGTGAGTCTGGACTCGCGCGTCTTTCTTTGGCTCTTCCACGAACTTCGTTCCGTTTAACTTGGCCCCCAGTACACCGCGTGGCTTCGTCCCCTCCTCTGAACTGCAGGCATGAGGCCCACACTACCCTAACTAGGTTTTAGAAACACAGAAAAGGCTTTTTCCGTGCGCCCCCACGATCCCCGCCTCATGGTTTGGGGTTTTCCTTTCGCTTTCGAGCATCTGCCACGTGAGGGTGTGTTTTGTGTGTTGCACTCCTGCTCGTGCACTTTGGCGCCCTGCATCTTATCTGCACTTCATAGGAAACGTTTTTGCTCTTTTTGACGGTTGCTCCCTGTTCCTTAGACTAATACAAGGAGATGCATCCGATCGCCGGCATGATACTGTTACAGGGGTGCACTTAGAGAATATTGTTCTCCTTTTCCTCATCTTCAGATTTCTTGCAGTACATTTTACGATAAAAAATATGGCTGAAATGTCAACCCTGGGTAGTCAGTGTACCGAATGCCTCTCCGTCGTGTCTCAGCAGGTTCCTCTGGCTGTCCTATCCCATGTCACGTTTGAGAGAAAGCACTCGTAACTTCTTCCCAGAGAGCACACTGGGGCTGGGCGTTTTCAGTCTGAAGGGAGATGGGCGTGGTCTGAATCACTTCAGGTCAGAGGGAGGGAAAGTGTCCCGAAATCCAGAGCTTATGAGAGAATTTTATCCCCATTTCTTTCCCGAAGCATTTAACAAATACAGGGCCACCTTTGAGTTCTGGAGGGCAGGGACCATTTCTTCCTCATGTGCCTGGCACCAGGCCTGGCACACAGGTGCTCAGCAAACGTTTGGAGAACAAGAGTGATTCACTCGACTGAGACTCACAGTGCCCCAGGGAAGGGAATTTACGGCTCGTCCAGAGTTAGTTTATTTCAAGGGATCTGTGTCAAGATCAGAAAAATAAGGCTTTAAGGTTGACGAAGAAATTTTTTTTTAATGAACAGCCCGGTGAGAAATGCCGTGGCCACCACGCCAGAGACGTTCGGCGTTGAGGACACGAAATGTATCCAGCCAGGCCACTTTCGGAAACCTCTTCTCTTACGATTGAGTGATGTGCCTTTCAAGGAGAAAAGCCCTCGTCATCGAGATGGGAGAACAGCGTGCTCCGGCTCAGCTATGCGTTTTCCACAGAAATAGACTTTTTCTCAGCATTTTCTCCCAAATCTATAGGAAACATATCAACGAAAGTAGATTGATTTCTGGAGTGAAAGAAGAGTATAAATTCACCTGGCCCCAGGCTTCGGAGGGCTGCAGCCCCTGCTGCTCGAAGAGCGTGCACGATTATCTAGAACCTGGAGGTGCCTACTGTGTGCCTCTTCTCCCTCACGCTGTGCGGTAGGCTGAATTATGGCTCCCAAAGATGCCATGGCCTAATCGCAGGAACCTGTGACTATGTTAGGTCATGTGGTAAAGGGGAAGTAAGGTTGCAGATTAAATGAGGGTTGCCATTCAACTGACACCAACACAGGGACAGTTTCCTAAGGTATTGGGTGTGCCTAGTGTGATCACAGGGTCTTTAAAAGTGGGAGGGGGACTTGGAGTAGTCAAAATCATAACGACAGAGTGGCGTTGGCCAGGGGCTGAGGAAGAAGGATTGTGGAGTTGCTGTTTAATGAGTGTGGAGTTTCAGTTTTGCAAGATGAAAAGAGTTCTGGAGAGGGACAGTGGCTGCACAACCGTGAGTGTACTCACTGCCACCGAACTGTACACTTAGAGATGGTTCGATATTAAAAACTACTGACCTGTACACTTTACAGTAAATTTTATTTATGTGAATTATATTTCAATTTTAAAAAGGCATGAGATAGGGCAGCCTCCTTTTCCTGCTTCTGGGTTTGATATATAAGTGTGTGATGCCTGGAGCTGCTGCAAGCATCTTGCGGCCATGAGAGACACTGGACACGGAGAGCAGCCAAGCACAAGAATGGGCAGCCCCTGGACTCTTTATGACACCGATGAGCCCCTAAAATAACTGACCTGTCCGATCTCTTGTCATGTGACATAATGTCCTGAACTTCGGAGCCAGTCGATGGATTTTTCTGTTCCTTGCAGCCCTGGTCACCCCTCCACAAAGCCCTGAGCAGCGAACACTGTCTAGGGGTCTCTCTCGCCAGAGGAGCAAGTCTTCCCCTGCAAGGGCTGGGAGGAGAAAGGCGCGCTGTCTGCTCTGCTTCTGCTGCTTCCTCCCTCAGCCACCCCCTTCTTCATCTACCCGGTGCCACCACTGCCACCTCAGCTTTCCTTTCTGGCCCCTCCAAGAGCCTCTGCTAAGACTTCCCTGCAGCACTGTCCCAAGGCGTCATAGTTAACCAAGTGTCCCTCACCCCCCTTCCTGGGGGCAAGGCCAGGGCCTGTTTCATTAGGCCTCCTGGTTCTATACAGCACAGCACAGTGCAGCACCGGCCCTGGCGCTTAGTAGGGCCCCAGGAATTGCTTACTAAGTTGATCGAAGAGGTGAGAGTGGCTTAGTCAGTGTACATGCAGTGAGATAAAATCAGCCTCTGTCAAGAGCACCTACTATGTGCAAGTCACACTGACCTCTCTTCAGGCCCTAAAGCATTTAATATTCACACTACAGATGAGGAAGGAGGCTCAGCCAGGTGAAGCCATGTGCCCGAAGCCACACAGCTACTAGGTGGACAAGCTGGGATTCAGACACAGTTCTGACACTGAACTCTTCAAAAATAGTAACAATAACAGCCAGCCTTTACGTTGCCATCATGGTGAACCACGCCCTACTCTGACTGAACCCTCCCAACTTTGCTGCGAGGTGGGTGTCGTTAGCTCTGTCGTGTAGATAGGAAACTGAGGCCAGCACTGGGAGCTGGTGCTCGGCTCCAGGGTCCCTACCCCCACACCTGGAGCATCCCGGCTCTGGCTCACGATGGCGCTGGGGTGTCCACTGCCGCCTGGACATCAGCAAGACCAGGTGCACACAACCAGGGCTCTGGGCGGAGGAAAAGCAGTCACTTCCTAAAATGGTTTCGAGGGGACCATCTTACTTGCGGCCTGCGCTGGGACTGTGGGGCGGGTAAGGTCCCCCTGCCCTCAGGGGACTGAGTACCAGGCTGGTGGAAAGAGGCCTGGCCACACTCAGCCAGGGCGCGCCCACCGGATGGATGTGCAGGGCAGGCAAGCGGGCTTGCAGGAGTGTGGTGCTCAGGCCAGAGGCCGGCAGTGTCCAGGAAAAGGGGCAGAAAGAGTGGGAGCGACACATCTGGAGCCTGACTGGGAGCCTGACTGGGAGCAGGCCACCAGACAGCAGTGACGAGATGCTGACTAATTCTGCGCACCAGCCCCACTGCGGGCTCCGGGGTGAGTCAGACGTGGCTTGACATCACTGTTTACTAACTGTAGCCTCACGGTGCCCCTCTGGTCTTTGAAATGCGGCAGACCGGTTCCGTCCCTCACCAGCTCTGTGACTCTGGGCACGTCGTCCCTTCTCTGAGCCTGGTCTCCTGGATGTGTCTGCACAGGATTGTGTGAGGGTCACGAGTCAGTATGTACAGCTCACCACAGGCTCCCTAAAGGTTGGCTATAGTCTTGTCACTGAGTCTGCTCTTCTCCGCAGAGCTGGGGCCTGCTTCCTCCCTGTGGGGAGCTGGACAGCAGTCCCCAAAGATGTCCCCAACCCTAGGACCCGTGAATATGCTGCCTTACATGGCAAAAGGGACTTCACAGCTGTAATAAAGTTACCGACCTTGAACTGGGGAGATTGCCCAGGTGGGCCCAGGGTAAGCACAGGACTCCTTCAAACAGGAAGAGGAAGAAGGGCAGAGTCAGCTTCAACAGAAAAAGAGGCAGGGAGACGATGTGAGGGGGACTTCCCCGGGTGTTAAAGGCTTTGAAGGCGGAGGAAGGCGGCCCCTGGAAGCTGGATGGGGGCCCCAGCTGACAGCCGCCATGGAAGGGGGCCTTAGTCTTAGAACTGCAAGGAACCGAATTCTGCCAACGACTCGAATAAGCCAGGAAAATGGATTGTCTGCCGGAACCTGCCGTATTTCCACTCTATAGAACTGTAGGACAATAAATTTGTGTGGTTTAATGCCTCTAAACGTGTGGTGCTTCGTCATGGCAGCAGAAGGAAATGAACACAGCACTCAGACTCTCTTTCTGTTGGGAACGAGGGTTCGGCCCACCGCAGCCTCTAGTCACCCCTTAAGTGCTGGCCTCCCAGCCCGCTCTCCTGAATCAACGTGCAAGGTCATTTTCCACGGTCTCCAGCTGAAACATGGGCAGGATGGCGGAGCCTTGAAAAGGCCAAGTATACTTGGCCTTGTGCCCAAATAAAAGTCTGGAAATGAGTGTACTTGTTTAAAAAAAAAAAAAAAAAGCCAAGTGCTGACCCACTTTTTCCTGACTGCTCTGCCTCAGACACGTCCCTCTAAAAGGAAATTTATTTCCAGTACACGCTGTTCCCAGGGCTGACATCACCCACCTCGACCAGGAGCAGGACTGACAAGAGCTCTCGGAGGCTGGAGTCCAGCATCTGATAATGGAGCCCAAGTTCTGCAGAAAGCGGTGGGTTTGGTTTTGAGTTTATTTTCATTTTTTTAAACTGTATCGGCGTGGCCCTGGAGGGGTTGGGGGTTTAGCCTGAGGTAGAAATTCCACCCAGGAACAATGCCACCTGGTGTTCAGCACCCAGCCCTGCAGCCCGTCTATACAGACCCTGGCAGGCCACAAAGCAGCAGCATAGCCTGGTGGCGGCGACAGCCACTGCAGATGGGCACAGAGGCTGTTACAAGGACAGAATGTCTCCACGGGAAGACAGCTGCTTCTGAGTGGCCACATGCCTCCGAGCAGGTCTGGGCTTGGTCCAGGCCTGCTCTGTCGACACCCCCTCAGAGGCCTGAACTGGCACCGAGATCCAGAGATGCTCCTGGAGGAGTCTGGACGGGAATGTGGGCTTGAGAGTTGGCCAGCGCGCTCCCATCTACCTGGGGGCCTTACAGTGAGCCTCGGTGACCCCATCTGATCAGTGAGAGTTGTGCTCCCTTCCCATTGCTGCTGTGAAAAATCGCAAGCTCGGTTGCCGAAACAACACAGATTTTTTATTTTAAATTCTAGAGGACAGAAATCCTGAAATCGAGTGTCTACGGGGCTGTGTTTCTTCTGGAGAGTCCAAAGAAGAATCCATTCCCTTCTTTTTCCAGCCTCTAGAGGCACCTGCATCTTTTGGCTGGTGGCCTTTCATCTTCAAAGCCAGCAGGACAGCGTCTCACATCTCTCCCTGACCTCTGCTGCTGTCATTACATCTTCTCTGAGTCTCCTTTCATAAGGCCCTTTGAGATGACCTTGGGCCCATACTGGATAGTCCAGGTTGTCTTCCATCATGAGATCCTTAGTTCAGTCCCATCTACAGAGTCCCACATATTCCCAGGTTCTGGCGGGGTGGTGGGGTGGTGGACATCTTCCAGGACATTAGTTGCCTCCCACAGGGAGGTTGATGTGAGGTGGCAAGATATACGTGGTCTATTAGTTTGCTAGGACACCAGTTCTTTGTCCCCTTTCCCAACCGAGAGGGTCCCACTGTGAGGCTGGACCCTGTCACCTGCTCCCGTGTCCCATCGTGCCTGATGTGGGCTACTACTAAGGCCCATTCCCCTCCTGGGTTTAACTTCCGCCCTTGGCCAAGGTCAGGAGTGAGCCTTCTGTGCTCCCATTGCAGATCAATCCTGCAAAAGAGAACACGTGGACACGGATTTTCAGTGGGGAACCAAGTCCCTTACGGCAGTGAGACAGAACTATACCCACTGTCCCAGGTAAGGGAACTAACCAAGTCCCTTACGGCAGTGAGACAGTGGGTATAGTTCTTAGAACGGTGTCACAGTGGAGTCTCAAGTGGTAGCTGTGTTTGTACAGTATAATAAGGTAGGTGAGGTCCGCATTCATGGTGATCATCTTTGCGGCATGCTGCTGGGTCCCTTGAGGACCCTGGGGTCCTTATGTCGTCCTTGCCAGCCCAGGGTTTCTGATCCCAGCCTGCTTTCCTGGGCCATAGCGTGATCATTTCTCCTCTTACTTGCATAGCAACCTTCCAGTGAAATTTTTCCCATGCTTCGGGGCAAACCCGCAGAACTGTGAGCGGGTCAGAGAGAGAACTGTCAGCCACAATCTCAGCACGTGTGCAGCGTCCGACACTGAGAGATACAGGGCGTTGGCGGAGCCTGAGGACAGAGAACTCCCTCTGCTTGGGACGTCAGGGGAGGCTTCACAGAGGATGAAGGCCTTGGATTGAAATTTGAAGAATGAGTGGAAATTTGCCCAGTGGCCATAGCAGGGAAGAGAAAGAGAACAGTGTCTGCGGATGCTCAGAGGTGTGGGAAGAAAACGTTTCAAAAACTAGCAGTTCAGCCAGGCGGAACCCTGGCCTGAGGAGGGCGGGGTAGCAGCGGGTGAGGCTGGACGAGTAGGCACTAGTAGTGTCTTCAAACTTTATTGAGCCATAAAGTGACATGACACACAAGTCACCCATGTGAAGAGTACAGTTCGTTGGCATTCAGTGTGTTCAGAGTGGCGTGCCACCACAGGAAGCAATGTTTGAAGCCCTCGTATGGTCCTGTGGAAGGTGGCCTTCTTGGGCTCCCCGAAGTGTCCTTTGGGAGTTGTATGGGTGCATAGAGACCACCTAGGAGAGGCTGGAGCCTGTCCCCTGCTCCCGTGTTTGAACCTAGACAGGAAAGAAAACGTGGCAGTTTTTGTGCTGAGCAAAGTAGGGCAACGGGTTTCCTATGGATCGTGAGGGGACGAGGCCCCCGAGAGCCCCCACCCCAGGCCCCAGCTTCGAAAACCTGGGGCTGTGTCTTAATAATAGTCAAAGCAGAGGGGACCATAACACACCAAGAGCGTGGCCCGGGACCAGTTGAGGCTTCCAGGAGTCCTCCCTTCATGACAGACACTGAATGGAGCAGGTATCCCAGAGCCGACTTGGGACATGCAGCAAAGAGATTCTTAGTTTTCTTGTTAAAGTGGTACTTCTTTTAAACGGGAGAGGGAGGCTCCAGTTGATTTTTATGGAAAACAAAGACTTCAGAGATGGGCGGAGGCTGAATTTAGCGAGGCAACTGGTATGGAAAAAAGGATGGTGTAAGGAAATTGGTCCGCGCGCGTACGGGCTGCTCCTCCTCTCAGGCTGGGGGGCTGGTGCTTCCCAAATGTGCTTGTGCTCCCACAAACATGCATGTCAAGGCCACACCCCCAGCGTTCTGTCAGCGTGTGTGCGTCTGGCCAGGAAACTGGCATGTCTTTTGAACTGCTTGGTCTTTCCTTGGAATTCTTCTTTTAATGATTTTAAAACTGCAAACTTAAGTTTCAAGCACAGTACAAATAACTTATTTTCCTGAATAATTTTAGCGTAAACGGTCGGCCTGATGCCCCGACAGTCCTAAAGAGTTCGCTGTGTGTTCTCCACAGACAGGCACCTTCTCCTGCATAAGCGCAACACAGCCGTGAAAGACAGAGGGTTAATATCAACACGGTACTGCCTGATCTCCAGGCTGCATTCGTGTTTCGCCAGTTGTTCCAATTAT